CTGTTGGAATACAAACAGTAGTGAATTTTTTTGGTTTGCCCAATCGAAAAAATATCCAAAACGTGGTAGGAAATAATAAAAAATACAAAGGTATTTTAACTTCCCAACTTCTCCTGGCTACCACTATTGTAGGATGGAAAGTGGAGGAGGTATAGAGTTAGAGAAAAAAAAAGGAATAAGTTTCGTGCGCCTCGAGAAAGGTGGTGCGGTGGATTAACGCTTTCACTTAACTTATTTTTGTCAACAAATTAAACATTCCCAACCATAACGATCCAAACTGGCACTGAGATGACATCCCAACACCTTAATGTGAGCTGTATTGAAATATATTACTATGTTGTTGTTATTACTAGGAAAGCTATTTTCGGTGGTCAATTTACGTTACCAACTCAGTTGATAATAATAAATTAACCACAGTGGAAAATCAGTTTAGTAAGACAGGAGAATGAATGAAGCATCTTTAATAATATCAAAGTCATTCCTAATCTTACAGAAATTTGACAACCTGTCAGAAGGCCATCCATGGTTTATTGTTCAGTGACTGAGAAATACGTTCTTCCAAGGTCTTTTTCCTCCGTGTGTCACTGGCAGTCATTTCAATGTACGTAAAACCAAGCTCTTCACAAACCAGTGTCGCTGATGTGGTTTTACCAACTCCTGGGGAACCGAACAGAAGAGCTTCCTTAAAGGACGACCCATCTTAGTCTTTGTTGAAAAAGGAAGCTGTACAAAATAAAAATGCTTACATTTGTGATTCCATTACTTACATACTAACTACATGTATGAGTGAGTGTATGTATGAGTCGAGTGAAATACATTCATCAAAGTTCATTAGTTACAGCTCTTTAGAAAAATGTACCTCTGAATGTAGGAATTAAGAAACAATCTGGATTCAGTATGAAAGGCATTCAGCCTACAGCTAGACAACATTTGCATCACAACTCAGCTTAAGGTCTTCTGTAAAATATCTGTAGATTAAGGTTAGGTTCATCCACTGAAGCCTTTTACTCCAAACAGCTCACTAGTAATTCGTACTGTCTGCCATCAAATTCTTAGGATTTGGATAATTTGGTATTGTATCAACTATTAATCCCCTAATTAATTTTTCTTTTTTTTATTCTCATAACTTGCCTGCTCGATATTGTATTGATATTGTAAGGAGAAATCCTATCTTGGTCACTTATGGGAGTTAAAGGGTCAAAGATAAAGTCAGCTCAAGAGCCAGAGGACTAATCTTGCCAAAGCTTAAATTAATTTCAGTACCATCAGGTGACTAGGAGAATTGCTACTCCCCCACTAGTATGGTTCCCCTATCTGGTTACAACCCAAACTTTTTCATCTGCTTTCTCCGACAGTTTGCCTGAACCGTTTGCATACTTGCCCGAAGAGAAGTTACATTTACATGTATTTGAGGGAAAAGCATCTTCACAATCAGATACACGTGTACTCACATTTAGAGGCTGGTTTCTTTCTATTCTTTTCCCAGTCTCTCAGCCAGTTCATCAGCTCTCTCAGTTTGCTCTTATCACCCTGCTGACCAATAATCTGCTCTCTGCGTGAGGTTGACCTTTGTCTACTCATAACAGACTTGGTTCTCCTGCACACACACAAAAAAAAATTACCTTTACTGTCAAAATCTTACATAGATTAAAAAAATAAAGCAACAAAAAACAAAAACACTACACTTTCTTGTAACTCAATTTAAGTAACACAAACAAGTCTACAGGTGGAAGTACAGTAAAATGATCCAACAGATGAACCTAAAGGTGGAATTTAGAGTAGTGGTAAAACTGATGTGTGGGTGACTGGACAGAGGAGAACAAGGAGAATAAGTGACAGATAGAAAGACAGTAATTGGAAGAATGAACATACACAAAAGAGCAGACAGACAGACAGACAGACAGACAGACAGACAGACAGACAGACAGACAATCTAAGTGACACCATAAATTAAGTAGGTGGTAGAAGGGGAATGAAGATGAACAAATTATGTTTACTTATCAGTTTCACACTAGCTTATGGCTCCTATTACATTTTTCTGGTACATGTATATCACATACATATGCATGTATTTTTATGTTATCTGTAATTGTAGTACAAAGTCATGTACAGTACCTGGATGCACACAAGAGAAATTATATTCACTAGGTGTAATCATTGCACAATGCATGTAGGATGCTTACTGGTGAGGAAATAATTTAAGGCATACCGCTGAAGTGTGAATTAAATTTTCAGTGAAGTCATGCTCTTGTGCTAATTGTTGGAGAGGTTTGAAACACCCAGCTTTCAGTGCAGGTGATGATGATGGTGTTTGTGTTGTTGGAGAAGACACAGATGTTTCACTCAGTTGTGACATATCACCCTCAAACTGATCTTTTCCCTGGCCGAGGGACTCCATTGGTTCAGCTTTCTCCTTCTTCTTTGTCTTCTTCTCCACACTTGGTGGTTCATAGCTGGTCTCATTGCCTGGTTTTGTTCTGACAAGCTCAAACAGACAGTCTTCATCTATTTGTGATGTTCCACATTGCTTAGCCTAACAGATAAGCACCAAAGTTAAAAAAAAGAAACAAAAAGATAACAACAAAAACAAAAACAACAAAGAAACCATTGGTCTCATGCCAAGTAATGTTTAGCTATTCAAGGAAGGAAATACAACCTTGAACCAGTTAAAAAGGTCTCCTAACAAGGAAAAATTTAATGAACTCCACAGCAAGAAATATAAGTTTATGCTCATGGAAAAAAAAAAACTCTTTTTAGAAGCCAACAACAAAAAGAAAATGTTAAATTTCTACCATAGTAAATTTTTCAGTTCATGTTGGTTTCCTCTACAGACTTACAAATCAATGAATTGTGTTCATTTTGCAAATTTGTGGCAAGTTTCCCAGGTGTTTTAACTGTAAGCCGCACCCAGATTTGTTTTAAAAATTTAGGGAAAAAGGTGCAGCTGCTATGTTTATGTTCACAGTTTTTTTTTTCCTCTTTTGAGCTGTACATCACAATGTACCTTGGAAAGTTTACTCTCCCCAGGATCCCGTCCCATGACAATAAAACTCTTTTTCTTGCTCACTGAGTGGGTAACTTTTCCACCATATCCTTGAATCAAATCTGCTGTGTCCTCTCTCTTGATACTTTCCAAGATTCCCGAAATAACAAATGTCAGTCCATCCAAACAGTTTTCCACTTCCTAAAAATTAAATTATCAAGTGCATGCATAATTCAAGATGAGCAGTGAAAAAAATTAATTCTTCCCTTGAAGGCCTCTTAATACTGTCCAAACTGAAAAGATATAAATGGCGAAAAAGTAAAAAACTCTGTAGATACACCATAAATATTTCAGATCAATGTCAGCATCTGCGCACCTACCCCTCCCCCAACCCAACACCTCCCCCAACCCAACAACTGTCAACTGCTAACAAGTAAGGGTTAAAGTTGTATTAGGGGAGGGGTAGGTGTGCAGTTTCTCAGATACAGACATTGAACCAACATTTGAACATGAACTG